ACGTCCTGCTCTGCCTCAAGGATTAAGCTTTCATCCTTCATTGTGAGCTTCTCCCCCAGGGAAGATTTTCCACGAAGAAAAAAAGAATTTCTGGGATTTTGCTTTTAAGAGATTATGTTACTAAGCATGTGTGTGTGTGTGTTTGTGCCGAGGAGAGGAGCTTTCCCACACACACACGCTCACACACGGGTGATCTGTCACATCCTGGGGCGATGCAGGGAAAGGGTGGTGTGGTGGGACAGGTCTGGAGGTGCTGCCTGGCCCTGGCAGCTCACGGCCCTTCCTCCCCTTTGCATCCCTGCATCCTCTTCACCCCTCGGAGTGGTCCTGGTGACAGGACACCCAGCAGGGTGTTCATGGCCCCAGAATGGCCCCTGAGGACCAGGGTGGGTCCCACCACCTTGCTGGATGAGGAATTCAGGGTTGGCATCACTGGGCATGGGGGAAGGAGGGGGCTCACCCTTGCTCACTGTTTTCAGGAGTCGCTTCCCTGGCCCTGCTGTTTGAGCCAGAATCACCAAATATCAGCTTCTCTCTGCCTGAGGCTGAGTTGCTGTGGTTTTGTGGCTTTCCCTGTCCCCAGTGCTGTCACAGTGCTCTTGGGGGGGCTCATGTCCTGGCAGGGCTGGGACCCACCTCCTGTGCCTTCAGGGCAAGCGCTGACCTCGCTGTGCTCTTGCCTGTCCTTACAGGAAACCTCAGCTCCTCACAGGGAGCTGATCCCACGCCTGGAGGCTCGGCCTTCTGAGGGCTTGGCTGCACAGCAAGTGTTGAACAAGGTTGTGCTTTCACTGGCAGCCTCTCTTGTTATTAAATCCTTTTCGGGAGCTCATCTAAGCCCAACAAATTAACATAAGGGAAGCACGACAGCTCATGTCAACCCACCAAAATAATCCCAATCTGTACTTGCAACAGGGAAGACGTAAACACAGCCCAGGAGGAATAACTGCTGCGTGTTCAGTGTCAGCATCTGGGCTGCTGCTGCTGTTAGCAAGTGCTGCAGTTCTGCTGGGAAATAACCCGGGGAAGGGCAGGTGCAG